AATGAAATTGCGATCTGTTAAAGATCGGTGACAACCTCTTGGAACGAACAACATACATTGTTTGTTAATCTCATAGTCATCATGGTTCGAACACCTTTAGTTACTCACTTGTAACAAACAGCTATAAATAGCTTCACTGTCCATTCACCGCGACTCTTTTAAGAACGTAAAAGTAAATAATAAAATAAGTAAACAAAAATGTAAACAAACAAAGTATACTGTCGATTGCATTGGCCAGCTGTTGTTCACTAAATTAATCAAATAATAACTTCCAAAACATGCAAGGCGTAGCCTTTTGAAAATCAGCCTGTGGGGCAGAGCCCTTAGGGAGTTCGTCCATATCAATACTTTTCGGCAAAATCTACACACTCTAAGCTTCATTTTGATATGCCATATGCCTATATTTTTATTTGGTAAATGGCCATAACCGTTTACTTAAAATTTGATTGTATCACTGTAATAATATACTGTTGTATTGATAATATTTTTGTACTATTGAGTGGATGGATTCTTATGTAAACAAGCCTTAAAATCATATTAAGTGAGACTAATTCGTCAACGTTTGTGATTTATGAAAGCTATAGTGACAATAGGCGGATGGTGGCCCCACCTTCTGCAGTAGCCTATCTATAAAAGCTATAATGTATATACAAAACTATAATATCTATAACTAATATTACGATGGTCAATTTATACATATCCACTGTTTTTTTCTGAACTGAGGTGACACATATGTCGTCAAATCGTCGTTAAAATTGGTTAAAAACTGTTTAAATATACAACTTTTAGCACGGTGTTTGTAACTAAACTAGCCCAAACTTAGATTTAAATCCATCTAATACCTGCTCTTGCTCCGGAGTGCTCTGGGTCCTTCTTGGAAGTACCGTACCTAATCCTATTCATAGTTTTTGACCAGCTTGCTGTGTCAAACACCCCATATCACCCCTTCCCTACTTCCCTCTTACCCACAAAATCTTTTCAAATTTACCTATAGGGAATCTTTTGGGGACAGCAGACTCAGAGCTACCCACGTTCCCTATTGTTTGTTGCGGAGGGTAAGTTTCTCATAATCACCCCAGGCCGAAAGTCCTACACTCAGGCCAAAAAACCCAAAAAACCATCCGTTCAAATTTATATATATATATATATATATATATATATATATATATATATATATATATATATATATATATATATACAGGGTGTTTGTGAACTCTCTCGAAAAAATTTACAGGATTATTCTTTGGGTTAATACATGAATATTTTACATTATAAACATGGGTCGCCGGAGCCTCGTTTTCCGTCTGTCTGTCTGTATGTGTTTTTTATAAATAACCTTATAACTCGAGTTTGAATCAAGGTACAAACTTTAAAATTGACACACTTGTGCAGTTTAACGTGGTACACAAACATGGAAAATTTCATTTTGTTGACTATAGCCGTTTCAAAATGGCGGCCATCTAAAATCTTTGACCTCAAATTACATGAAAACCACTAGAGTTACAAAAAAAACACAAGAATAACAAAATGTAGAAAATGTTATGCCAAATCAAATGACACCTAGATCTTAAAGATCGGACAAACAGCTGAGTTATTAATTTTTTAAATAATTAATAATTTCTTTACTGGCTTCTAATTGTTATTGTTTATTCATCAAAATCATCTGATACAGAGTACATTACGTAACCTTAAACAGATCTCAATAGTCATCTCAAAATCATCTGTCCAACCAGCTGTCTTACATTTTTGTAACAATTTAGAAAGGATCAGATGATTTTAAAGAATAAACAACAATTAAAAGCCAGTAAAGAAGTTATTAATAATTATTTAAAAAATTAATAACTCAGCTGTTTGTTGTTCGATCTTTAAGATCTATGTGTCATTTGATTTGGCATAAAATTTCCAACATTTTGTTATTCTTGTGTTTTTTTTTTTGTAGCTCTAGTGGTTTTCATGTAATTTTAGGTCAAAGATTTTAGATGGCCGCCGTTTTGAAACGGCTATAGTCAACAAAATGAAATTTTCCATGTTTGTGTACCACGTAAAAATACACAAGTGTGTCAAATTTAAAGTTTGTACCTTGATTCAAACTCGAGTTATAAGGTTATTTATAAAAAACACATACAGACAGACAGGCGGAAAACGAGGCTCCGGCGACCCATGTTTATAAAGTAAAATATTCATGTATTAACCCAAGGAATAATCCTGTGAATTTTTTCGAGAGAGTTCACAAACACCCTGTATATATACAGGGTGTCCCGGAACTCTCTACCAATATTTTAGGGCATTGTTCCTGGGTAAGAAACATATCTAAATATCATATTTAAATTGTCCGGAAGTCCTTATTTACTCAGATAGCCGCCATTTTGTTTTTTTCACTTATTAATTTTTTTTTTAAGATTGGTTAAACATACGAAGTTGAAACTTTGCACAAACATTTATGACAACTAGACAAAGCTACAAAAAAATTATGACGATTTTTCAAATTCATAAAACAAAATGGCGGCTGTTTAAAATTTTGTTTCTTAAATTACTCGAAAACCGTTGATTTTACAAAAATTTTACAAGAATAAGTTTTTTAAGGCAATTTTATTACAAATCGATCGACACCTTAATCTTGAAGATCGAACGAGTATTAACTGAGATATGGCAGTTTTAGTGATACGTGACCGCCGGATATTAGTTGCAGCGCATGCTGAAAGCGGTAATTTTTTTGTAGCTTTGTCTAGTTGTCATAAATGTTTGTGCAAAGTTTACGCATAAAAAATAAAACTACACTACTATGTTTAGATATTATCTGTATTTCTAGGTGACATATGTACATATTATATACATATTATTTACTTTCTAATACGTATTATATACAAATTATTTACTCTGGTCGAAAGTGTTTAATACGTATTATATACATATTTGTGCTGCCTGGGTTACTCGGTCCATCAAACTGCTCTTCTTTAAACCTAATTGTCCCAAAATAGTAGTACTCTGGTTTTTAGTGTATACAAATTTCCAAAATCTGATTTGATTTTACTCTCCTGTTAATATAACAGGATCACCCTGTGTGATCAACTCAAGGAGGCCACCATTGGGATTTCGGAAACGGTAAGAATTAGAGAAAACTTTAAATGGGGGACATTCCTTTATTTTTTGTGTCAGTTAAAAATATGATTTTAGTTTTTCAAAATTCAGCCGCCATTTTCCAAAATGGCGGCCAACTTTGAAATTTCTTATGGAACACCCTGTATTTTATCGTGTTTTCGGAAAGAACATGTAATTTAAAAACTTTTTTATTCGTGACATTTTTTCGATAAACCCACTCGTTTAGGAGTTACAGCCTATGGAAAAATGACTTCCGGTGTACATTTTACATCATGTAGCTCCAAAAAAAGTAGGGTTATAGCGAAAATGCGAGTAGAAAATAAGTCAAATAAGTCTTAAAATTGCATCCACATTCCATTAAGACCATAAAATACACAGTTTTCCACTTTTCAAGTTTGCCGCCATTTTGGAAAATGGCCACCATTTTTAAATAATAGAATTAATATTTTTAACGAATTTTATGGACTTTTTGGAATGTGGATGCAATTTTAAGACTTATTTGACTTATTTTCTCCTCGCATTTTCGCTATAAACCTACTTTTTTTTTAGCTACATGATGTAAAATGTACACCGGAAGTCATTTTTCCAGAGGCTGTAACTCCTAAACGAGTGGGTTCATCGAAAAAATGTCACGAATAAAAAAGTTTTTAAATTACATGTTCTTTCCGAAAACACGATAAAATACAGGGTGTTCCATAAGAAATTTCAAAGTTGGCCGCCATTTTGGAAAATGGCGGCTGAATTTTGAAAAACTAAAATCATATTTTAACTGACACAAAAAATAAAGGAATGTCCCCCATTTAAAGTTTTCTCTAATTCTTACCGTTTCCGAAATCCCAATGGTGGCCTCCTTGAGTTGATCACACAGGGTGATCCTGTTATATTAACAGGAGAGTAAAATCAAATCAGATTTTGGAAATTTGTATACACTAAAAACCAGAGTACTACTATTTTGGGACAATTAGGTTTAAAGAAGAGCAGTTTGATGGACCGAGTAACCCAGGCAGCACAAATATGTATATAATACGTATTAAACACTTTCGACCAGAGTAAATAATTTGTATATAATACGTATTAGAAAGTAAATAATATGTATATAATATGTACATATGTCACCTAGAAATACAGATAATATCTAAACATAGTAGTGTAGTTTTATTTTTTATGCGTAAACTTTGCACAAACATTTATGACAACTAGACAAAGCTACAAAAAAATTACCGCTTTCAGCATGCGCTGCAACTAATATCCGGCGGTCACGTATCACTAAAACTGCCATATCTCAGTTAATACTCGTTCGATCTTCAAGATTAAGGTGTCGATCGATTTGTAATAAAATTGCCTTAAAAAACTTATTCTTGTAAAATTTTTGTAAAATCAACGGTTTTCGAGTAATTTAAGAAACAAAATTTTAAACAGCCGCCATGTTTACTTGCCCGTATTTCCGTTGGCGTCAAGTTTGTTGGGACTGTTTTGACACCCTAAACTTCAAAGGAAATATTCTTTAGGTTCCAAACCCAGATATGGCTCATAATTACTTTTGATACTAGTGCAATTTATGAGGCAAAACAGCGCAACAAACTTGACACCACCAGAAAATAAATGGTATCAGCATTCTGACACATACATTCTCCCATCATTTTGTCAACAACCTTTATCATGTGTAAGCGGTGAGCAGGCCTTTCAACTGTCTTTAGTTTTTCGTTTATCGTATAAAGATTTATTTTATCCAATTAAATTATTAGAACAAAATACTTTTTCAAGATAAGAAACACATTAAGCCCAACTAATAAAATTTTAAGACACAATATTAGTACTATTTTGTAATGTTACACAACTATTCAGTTTTTGTTTACCATCAATTGATTGAGACAGGGAATGGGAAAAAAACTCATAGGCTGTTTGTTGTAAGAATAAGAATATGTTATTTTTCCATCAATTGTACAATATTTACAATAGTCATTTCTGCAATAGTCATGCACTACATGAATGAAAAAATAAATAGTTCCATTTTTAAACTGAAAAATAATATAGAATACACTGCTTAATTTTGTTTTTACTATTGTAATTAAAAAACATGTACACAGCAAAGTTAACACAATACTTAGTCCCTGTGTGGTAAAGCTAGTGTGCCCTTAAGTTATATGACATAGTAAAATTTGCTTAATCGTTTGTGAAAATGTAGGCTAGAATCCTTCTCGTCAGGTCCTCTACACTTGCTCCACCAACTGCCCGCAAATAATTAGCCTGGAACATGAACAAACAGATTTGGAGAGAATATAATATTATTAATATTTACATCAACCCACAAAGTCAACACATGAATACATTCGGGACAATGACAAACCTACTTTTTTTAAGTATATTTCAGTGCCATTATTTTGAGGCTATCCCCCCCCCCCTCCTTGAACATATCAACGCTTTAAGCCAATTTTTTATATTTCTCTGTTAATGTTATCTAATGATTTCTTCTTATGTATTTCAAAATGTATTTATTTTAACATTATATGTCCATATTTATCTAAAATGTATTTGGTTAAAATAGGTTGAATGAGGAATATTGATAGTCTAAGCTATGCTTAAATGTTTGGTTTGGTCAGGTTAAGAAATGTTACGTTGAGATAAATTGCATTAGGATTGGTTTGAAAGCATTTAAAGAGGTACAGTAAAGATAAGGTAGGTGAGGTCTTAAATATATCAACCTACAATAACAATTCCTAACCTGATACAAAACAAACTAACCATAACCACCACTAACTAAAGTACACTCTCAATTGTGCCCCGGTTTTACGGAAATCTGGGTTATTTACGGTGGTTAGTTCATTAAAGGTTTAATTTCTATGTATGTGGTCAAGTAATGAAATGCATAAGATTTGTTATTTAAAATATATTTGTAAGTTAATTTTGAAACACTTTTATTGTTCTAACTTGTATATTTGTTAGCACAACCTTATTAGGAGCCTAGTAAATTTTACAGTGGTCATTAAAGCTTATTAAACCTTAACATACACATGAACTCCGTATTATCCTAGGTTCACGGTAAATTATAAGTTACCTTGGCCCTGAAGGTCTAGTTTAGGCTAAGTAAACTGTAATTAAGTGTACTGTAACATTATAGCTAATGTATTCATATTTCAACACAATGATTAATGTAACTCTACTCTAGATATCTCAGCCCAACCATGTCGGCTTTAGTAAAGTTAATTTGCAGAAGTTAGGCCTACATTTTGTTAGGAATCGGAGCAGTTACAGAAAATCAATATAGTACACTCCTGATTATCCGAGGTCGTTACAGGCTTAAATTTATACTGTATCGACTGTATATATATTTTTTCAGTCGGAAAACGATAGCCTTTACGTATAGCGTTTACATTTCGCGAGTCAACCGAGTCAACTCGTTATGTCCCGAGTTCATAAAGGTTCAGCTTTCTCCGTATGACTTCAGTTTCTTGGCTCGCTTTGAGGCTGTGAGCCATTGGCGTTTAAGTTTTGCGAGTCGGACTCGTTACGTTCTGAGTTCGTGTAGCTTCGGCAATCTCCGTATGAGTTCGTACCAACTCGAGTTGTGAATGAGATGACTCGAGTTGACTCGACTCGGTTCTTGGCTCGAGTCAACTCGACTCGTCACATCACTACTTCCAAGTACAACCCCTAACCTAAAAATCTATACAACCTCTCTGTGTTATCTGAGATTCTCGGTAGGTAACTGAGTGAGTGTAGCCAAGCAGTCCCAACACCCTTGATTAATCTGGAGTGTACTAACACACTAACAGTGAATTTATATTTAAGAAATTAAGCTTTTGACTGAGGGTTAAATTAAAATTCATATTTATGTACAACAAGGACTTGTTTTAGAGTGTTCAGTACTAAATAAGGGCTGATAACTTCAAACTTCATAACTTCAAAAGTAAGGTAAATTAGCCCTACCTAGGATTGGTGTGAACCTGGCAATAACTACAGCAATAAGTGGTGCGGGCCAATAAAATTTATTGCTGGCCGTTTTGCGGGAAAATACGGCCACGTACCATATTACCGATGATGTCAGCAGATAGAGGACACTTTAACGGACACGACAGTATCAATATCATGTACCTGGGGGATAAGTAAGGGGGGGGGGGTAAAGTCAGCAATAAGTTGATAAAATCTATTGCTGGCCGTTTAGCGGAAAAATTTGGCCGCGTACCTTATTACTGATGATGTCAGCAGATAGAGGACACATTAAAGGACACGACAGTTAAAGTATCCTCTATCTGGTGACATTATCGGTAATATGGTACGCGGCCGTATTTTCCCGCAAAACGGCCAGCAATAGATTTTATAAGGCGCGCTCACTACCGATTGCTGACTTCACCCCCGCTAACTTATCCCCCAGGTACATGATATTGATACTGTCGTGTCTGTTAAAGTGTCCTCTATCTGGTGACATTATCAGTAATATGGTACGCAGCAGTATTTTCCCGTGAAACGGAAAGCAATAGATTTTATCGGGCGCGCGCACTACTTATTGCTGGAGTTATTGCCAGGTTCACACAAGTCTACCTAGGCCTATAATCTCCAGCATTCAGGTAGGCCTATAACCTAACTTAAGTAGGCTAATGTACCATCGAAAATAAAAAATTGAGAATGTAACTTAATTTAACAGGATTTTAAGCAAGGCTAACACGGGTAAGTTAACTTATGTTAGGCCTAAGATAACAAACCAACCTAGGACTAACCACATCTTAACTTAAATTAGTGCTGTAACTTAGGCCTATTAACTTAATAGGGTAGACCTAATATTTTTATTGTAAAAAAACACAATATTTTTTCCAAATAAGTTAGGCCAAAGGTACCGGTACCTATAAATAGCTTAATAGTAAGCCCCTATACCGAGGGGAGCGTGCTGGTCTAGTTTGTTGGTTTAGAGCACAGGACTACCTGACGTCCCAGGTTTAAATCCCGCCAAATCACCAATGGATTTTATCTACAACGCCTAGGTCTAGCCTGAAGTAATGTGAAACACAATCCCGGGCTCGTGCCTAGCTTCCTAGGACAAAAAGTTATACCGATCTAGGCCTAGCCTACAGCCACTAATTTATAACTATCCAATAAACCCTGATTCCCCCTTGGTCCCAAGTTTGAATGTGTTTTTGGGTCTAAGTTATGCTGGGTAGTCTAATTAAGATAAATGCTAGTAAAAATCTAAATAATTGTTAATGCTTGGCCTAATTAAGATTAAGTCTATTAACTTAGGGTAGACTTTCATAAATGGGGCCAAAAATAACTGAATGAATTTATCGATCTATATATCAAGTTTGGTTGGTTAGGTTTGAGGTTAGTTGTTAGTAGTTAACTTAGTTGGTAGTTAGGTTACCTAACCTAACTAATCGAATGAAATAATCGATACCTGTACCGAATAATCGATACGATATTTTCAATCTGTTGTTCTTGGCCTTACCTATGAAAGTCTACCCTTCCATTGAAATAAGGAAAACAAATCCAAGAAAACCCCATTAAAACTTTCCCCAAGCATAGGCTACAGATGGTTTTTTAATCATAAACTAGAAACTGAGCCCATTAGGTAACTTTGTAGCCTTACGTTCACAATTCACAAAATGTCTCGTTTGGCACTGGAAGTAGCCTAGGCCTAGACCTTTAATCGGTCTACCTTAACGTTTTATCCGTAGGCCTATGTAAGTTAGGTTCAAAAGAATCAAAAGCTTGATTTGCCATTCAGTACAAAAAATACAATAGGCTTTGCCTCATACATACAAATAACTTGACTGCTAAAATAAATGATCAAATCATTTCAAATAATAAATTAACTTAAAAAAATGAAACTCACACAGCAAAAAACCATGCAGAAAAAATAAATTAACAAATCACACATAAGTTAGGTGCCGTACATTAACTTAACTTGGAAAAATGTCCTAAGTTAAAAAAAGGGTAAGTTTATCTGTTGTCAAAAATAACCAAATTAAAAAACTTATCGATTATTCGGTTGTTTCATTCGATATATCGATTGATATTTTCATTCGGTTGTTTTGGACAACAGACACAGAAGTCTATCCTAAGAAAATCTTAAGATCAAACTCAGCAAGCCATGCAAAAACAAAACAGCAAACTTAACTTAAGTCACATACTGTAACTTACCAGTTAAGTTACAGGCAAAACTTTTCCACTTGAAATGGGCTCGTGTACAGAGAATTTATTAACAACTGTACTTCAATAGGTAGGCCTAAGTTAGGCAGTTGAAAACCTTACACCTGAAACAGGAAAACATTTCTGAGTCTTACTTAGTCTATGACCAGTCAAATGTAGGCTATGCTATCGGAGTTTCTAAGGGAAATTCACTCATGAGCCTTCTTGCTTGGACTAAACAATATTCCTAAAGTGTTTTGCCTTCATTGAGCGCTAACTTAGCTTAAGTTAGGCCTATTACTGTACCAGAAAACCATCAACTTAGGCCTAACCAGGTTAAAAGCACTAGATTTAAAGCCCTAGGGGGTACAGTTTCTTAACTGGGCTATACTAATATCGATTGAAACTATCGATTCGATTAGTAAATTTTCATGCAATTTTTTAACCATCAGCAAGTTTGGTTGGTTAGGTTGTGATGACTTAGTTTTATTTCATAATTGATATATTTAAAAATATTGATTATTAAATCAATATTTTCAATTTGAAGTTTCAATCAATATTAGGCTAGCATAGCCCAGTTAAGAAACTGTACCCGGCCTCAGAGGTTACTTATTCATATTTATTTATTTATTTTTACGGCAAACACCATTTTTTACAATCGTTTTACATTGTGATACATGCGACAAGATGCTTATTACATGCTGATTATTATTGACTGAAAGGTAAGTTACCCGGGTACAGTTTTTTAACTGGGCTATGCTTAGCCTACATCGATTGAAACTATCGAATTGAAAATATTGATTAATAATCGATATTTTTAAATATAGGCTATCTATTATAAAATTAAACTATCATAACCTAACCTAACCAACCAAACTTGCTGACGGTGAAAAAATCGCATGAAGGTTTAAGTTACTAATCGAATCGATGGTTTCAATAGATATTAGAATAGCCCAGTTAAGAAACTGTAGGCCTACCCAGTTACCCTCAGGAGCCGATTTTTTTCCAATTTGTTTATACTTAGGATTTATGTTTATAAACTGCTCATCAACATAGTGAACATAACTAAAGCACGGGTCACACTAGGCTGCTCGCCAGCCGCTAGTGATCAGCGGCTGGCACCAGCACCACCAAGCAGCGGCTTTTCCACGGGTCACACTAGGCTGCTTGTCAGCCACTGGTACTGGTGATCGCGATATTAACGATGTGTGAGTGTGAGAAGGAAAAGAACAGCTTTGAGGTTTTGTAACAAATCACTGTAAGCTGATTATTTGATGTTCTTACTTCTATAAAGAAACGTCCCACAAGCACGTTTAGTTATTGGAATAAATTTAAGAAATCAATAGGCCTAACCTGCTTCCCCAACCACCTAAGCTCAGTAATTTCTATGCTACAATACTAGGCCTACTTTAAGTTTAAAGTTTAAGTTTTAAGCTAAGTTCTTGTTGCCATTGTGTCCTTTTTTGGGTCCTCATCCAGCACTTAATATTGAGGATGTGTGTGAAAGAGAAATTATTTTATTAAAAGATGCTTAACCGCAAGAAGAGACGTTAGTGGATCAGGTCTTGGTTACGAATAATTTACAAATAAAAATACTTTTTAAAAATACCACGTTTTTAAACGCACTAAAAAAAGAATCAGAAACATACCAAAATGTTTTACGAATGTCACCAGTCACCAGTCACATATGAGACAGTTGCTTTTGTCCTTTTGTGTTAAACCAAGCTGGATTAGGATATTACCTTTGGTCGCCGCTGGCACGCTTCTAGAGGTGGTCAGACTACGCTGCTCGCTGGTTTCAGCGAGTGCGAGTGGTCACGTGACCTCTAGTCGCCGCTGCCTCGCTACCAAAAGTTGAACATGTCCAACTTCGCAAGCCGCTGACAAATACTCGCCGGCTAGCAATACCAGCTGCAAATTTTGTGGTCACATCAAGCTGACAGTAGCGGCTTCTTTCAATTCGCCGCTGATGCCAGCCTAGTGTGACCCGTGCTTTAGGACTTGGTTAGAAAACGAATTTGTCAACAAAATTACGTGATTATAAATAACTAGGAGATTTAGGCTAATTAATATTTTTAACAGTTAATAAATTACCTAAAAGTATAGAAGTACTTACCTCGAACAGTTCTAGTATAATGCTAAATAGTAAATACACGTAGTTTGGTAGTTTGTTGATCTCGATTACACTGTTTACTCTCAAACTCAACTGTCGACTGTCATAAAAATAAAATGGCCGACTCGACTGCCTGTTCGTTGGTTATGTCCTGGTCGCTAATGAGATCAAGTTAGAAACCCATCTCCACTTCGAATGGAAGTGAGGGAGCTTGAAGAGGAAAACTAATCTTTTCTCACCCAGAATACCTGATCCAAAGTGACTGTAAAGCCGGTAGAGGTATTTAAAACACCAGCAATACCACAACTCAGTGTGACTCCTGCTCTGCTAGTCCTGCTGCCACATCTGTAACTCATCAAAAACAAACACTTTTCCATTCCAACACTTGTGTTGACTGAGACTGACTGGAGCTGGAGCACTGGATTATACACTGAGGGAATTCTGGGTAACGAGCTGAGCCTGATCAGTGTATTGAATAGAGAATAAAAAATACGTATTTTGTACGCAAGAGTCGGTTCCTAATATCAGACATCCTATCGTGTACTAAAATAAAATCCTAAATCCATCGCCAACGATTTCAGCCGAACTAGTAGAGTAACCCTCCAATCAGTGTCGCTCCTGGCGGCCGTGGCTTGAAACTCGATCTTGCTCCTCCTCCAGCGCAGCGCGCGCACACGCACGTAATGGCATGACGTAACCGCCGTGCGTTGCGTATACCTCCCCCCACAACCCTCTCCCTCCCCCACAACCACTGCACCTACCAGCCACCCACAGACGGCCCGGCGAATGCGCTCTGCTTATTCTTTGCAACACGCCGCCGGTGTTTTTACTCTTCGAGCCCAAGCATTGCGCTCGCCCGATCGCACACCCGTCAAACTTACCTCTAACCTACCTTACCTTAAGAGTACAATTAATTGGTTATATTTTTAGACCATGTAATTCCTCAAGTAGTTCGTATAAATTATTATAAAACTAAGGAAGAAACGTTTTGATGTAAATAAAATAATGATCTATTAATAAGCTTGGTAACTGTAGGCATAATCAACATAGCAGAATTTATAGTCTCTTAATAGATATGCAAATTATGGGTCATTGAACGGATATGCAAATTATTTCACTTCTCAACTTTTTGAAAAAAGAGAAGGAAAATAAATATTTTGACATGTTTTAATTCATCTTGGTAGCTTTATTTAGTTTACCATTAATGTTTGACTGCTTAAACTTTTTTTGGATTAGGCCCGAAAATATTGATATCATAAAAAAGTGATCAAGAATCATCAGGAATCGTGATTTTAAATTTCCACCACAATCTCAGACGGGTTTTATCCAAAGACATACAGATGGATGACATAGATTAATTATTATATAGATTATATAAAAATCTAGTGGTGTCTGTCTGTATGTGTGTTACTAATAGGCGCATAAACTATTGAACTGACTGGGCTTAAATTTTTAAATTTAAGATTTTAAATTAATCAAATCAAAATGGTGGTATCCACTACTTACCAGATTTAAAAGTCATAACTTAAACGTTTTTATTAAGGCCGTAAAAGTTTAATTTTGTTTCTAAAAGCGTTGGTGAATGTGCAACATTATATGCTATTATATGCAACAGATGTAAAGATTAAAATGTTTCTATTTTGTGTCCTCTTCCCGTTGCAAAGCACGGATACAACAGCTAGTAAAGGATATGTTAGGTTTTAATGATTAGTTTAATGATGTCAGAACGCCAACGTTAAATTATGTGTGCTGTGAAGTTTATTTTCGCTTTATTTTATAGGGTTTCTATTCAGACCTACTGGAAATTGTGTGCAGTATGAGTAATTGTATTGTGGTGATAATAGTTATGGAAGAGGCAGGTATGCGATGGAAGGTAATATCGTTGACTAGGCCTATACACATCTCAATTGATAATTACTCTTTCTACCGTAGGCTACTTACGATCAGTGTGCGAATTAGTCGCAAACTCACTTCAACGCTTTTCACATCGTCACAATTGCTGTTTTATTGTAAAGTTATCGGATTTAAAATGCATATCGCATAGGACTATGACGGGATAAAAACATATTTGGTCACGCAACATTTGTTTACAAGATGATTTTTCACATTAAATCTGTAATAAAATTTGTCTTTATACGTGTAAACTAGCTGTTCTGAATTATACACAGTTTTGATTGAGTACTTGATTACCGTACGTAGGACGGGCTAACTCCTCGTATTTATTTTAATTAAATTTTGAGAACAGAGATCGCAATAGGATAACGCGCGAAACAGTTTTGGCGGGGGCGAAGAACCTTCACATTCAGTGCATGTGCATGCGCATGTCAAAACTCTTGGCCTTGAGACTATTCTTCACCACGTTGGGGGTGAGAAAACCATGTTCTTACTGCTGACATAGTTATTGTTGCGTTGCTGGTTGCTCTATCGGTTAGCTGTGGATGTAAGTGATATTTGAGCGATACATGCAATATTGTTCTTTGTGTAGCGTAATGTATTGTAATTGGGTTTATATCTACACGTTATATTGTTTAGTTTTACGTTATCCGTTATCAATTACGTCTACAGCAGTACCGGTACATTGGATTGTTATTCTGCAATGGGTATTAGCATTGATTAGATAGGGCCTAAGTTATTTATTTATGATTATGTTACTTTGTTAGAGGGATGTCTGGAATCATACTCCAAATACTATTTTACAACAGACAGACACTCCGTTTGCCTTTTATCCAAACTATTAAAAACAGTTTTTTTTATAGTTTGGATGCATAAATATTATATGCAATCTATTATGTTATATTTATAAATAATAATATTAGGCCCCCCGTACCTAGTTCTGAATCCTTTTGAGGTTTGTTGAGCTTGTCGTTTAATACTGAATCGTACTTTTCTATTTTTTAAGAACAGAGTGCAAAGGCTCGAATAATGATCTGCCAGCAAGATCATTGATCAGTCCCCAAAATAGTTTAGGATTTTAACTGTACTGGTTGAGTCTTTCCCTGTA